CCTTGTGCTTGCGCAGCAGGCGGCAAAACCACTGAGCTAAATCCCCGGCCCTATTCTCATATTCTTAATCCTCATACCAAATAGTCATTTATTTTTTATTTTATTTTGTTTTTTTTGAGACAGAGCCTCACTATCCAGTTCAGGTTGGATTTCAACTCACTATGTACCCCAGGCTGGCCACAAACTTGCAGCAATTCTCCTGTCTCAGCCTCCTGAGTTCTGGAATTACAAGAGTGCACCACCACGCCTGGCTGTAGATAGTCATTTAAAAGATGTTTTTTTCAGCAGTATGCTCTTTATTTTTCCTCAATACTCTACCTGTTACCTTCTTTTCATCATCGTCATAGTTACTAGAAGTTAAGAGCTGACCAAATATGAGAGCTGGGACATACATCTTCTCGACTTTGTGTTCAACAACAGGAATTCCTTTTCCATTATTCCATATACTAATTAAATTGTTTTCTCTAAGAAAAGATTGAAAATTCTATTGTAAAACAAATGTTAAACTAATGCACATTTTAAAAACTCTTACATATTATTATTTCTAAAAAATATAAACTTGCAAGTCTCAATTTCATTATGATTTGTTCATATATACCTCCTGAAATTGAGCACAAATAACCCTTCCCACTATACTTAGTTATTTCTTTTTTTTAGGTCCAGGGATTGAACTTGGGACCTTGTGCTTGCAAGGCAGGCGCCGAAACGACTGACCTAAATCCCCGGCCTCCCCAACTATGCTTAGTTCCTAATACTCCTGAAATAGGAGCTGAGGGTGGGGTGGGGAAAACCTTTTCCAACACCTGTGTAGACACTGATAATGTTGAACAAATATGAAATTTTAAAATGTTAGGATAAACAAAGGGAAATGAATTATGCCTGATGGAAAAAAACTGGAAACAATATTATTATACCATTTTTAAGGGGATCATCTGTATCTCTAGTTCCCTTAGCTTCTCACTCAACAGAGGATATTGTAAAACAGATGAGAAAAACATACCATTATAAACTTCTCTGCTCGGTAATAAAATGCTAAAAACATACTTGCATATATTTATTGTTTAGTTATTTTAGGTTAATTCTAAGATATATATTAATTTTATTTTTTTATAACTAAATGTAGCCATTGGTGGATTATTTTTTAGCAAAACATGTATTGGTACATTTTAGATATACATAATGATAACACTCACCATAAGGAATTTGCACTTGTACATGATATAACCTGCCTCTTTTTTTCCTTCCCATACCACCCTCCCTGCAGGGCCCCACTCCCTCCCTATATAAAAAGCTTTGTTTTCATTTTTTCCTTCTATTTTTCCTTTTTTTTTCTTGTCCCTTCTTTCTTTTCTCCCCCCTTGTTCCCCTTCCCATTCGAACATTTTCGTACCATTTCCCAATATCTATTATACATTTAAAAGATATATTTTTAGCTATAATGGGACTCACACTATGGTTCTTTTTTGGTGGTACAGGGGATTAAACCCAGGGGTGCTCTAGGTACCAATGAGCAATGTACCTCCAGCCCATTTTATTTTTTATTTTGAGTCAGGGTCTTGTGAAGTTGCTAAATTGCCCAGGCTGGGATGGAACTTTTGATCCTCTTGCCTCAGCCTCTCAGAGTTCTGAGATTATAGTTGTGTGTGCCACCATGCCTGGCTTTGCTATGGTTCTTATTCCAAATAGAACTTAATATTATCTATAAAAAGACTAAAAAGATTATGATAGCAAGCCCTGAGGTACATTCAAGTATGTCATCATTAACATGCTCCCCAAAGAGCCTCAAGTATAATTTATGTGCTAACTGACCAGACTAATAATGTGAAAGAAAGCACTAGGACCACCCACAAAGTAACATCATTTAAAAACCTGAGCTGTTAGACTAAATTATTCTCTACCACCACCTGCTGGTTTGCTGTTTGAATAGCATCATGAGAAAAAGCTTCATTCTCTAGAATGCTTGGAGAAATTTAGAAATGCTTGCTGAAGTATGTAGAAATTAAGTATCATAATATCTGTAGTTTATCTGGAAATAAATCAGACAAAATACAGATGAAGCACATAGGGAAAAATGCTGACCACTCTTGGATCCAGGTGGTGAGTATCCACGGCTATTCATTTTAGCATTTTGCCTTTCTGTACCTCTGTACACCTTCATCATAAAAAAGCCAATTTTACTAGTAACCAAAGTAAATGGAACTAACAATAACAATGAGCTATCACAAAAAATAGGCAAGAGACATACGGGTCAATTGTGACTCTAATACAAGACATTTTTGGATCCCTTTGCTTGTTGTCCGCAGCATTAACTGAAAGAAAATAAAACACACATTTGTAAGAAAACAAAGTGATTTTAAAAACATTTTTAAACTGTAAGATATAGGGGGAAAAAAAATCCCACATAACAAAGGCGTGGCAGTCACAATTTTTTTTAAGTTGTGCTAGGGTTTGAACCCAGAGCCTGGTGCATCCTGGGCACTACCACTGGGCCACACTCCCAGCCCCTATAGTGATTTTTTCTTTCTTTTTTTTTTTTAGTACCAGGGATCAAACTCGGGACCTTGCATTTGCAAGGCAGACGGTGGAACCACTGAGCTAAACCCCAGCCCTTATTTTTTTCTTCTTGCTATTGGGGACATTCCCATAGAGTTATGTCTCCAACTCTTTCTATTTTAAGACAGGGCAATTGCTAAATAGCCCAGGCTGGACTTGAATTTGTAATCCTCCTACCTCAGCCTTCCAGAGTGCTGCGATTACAGGTATGTGCCAACATCCAAAACCCTACAGCAATTTGTGTGTGTGTGTGTGTGTGTGTGTGTGTGTGTGTGTTCCAGTGTTAGGGATTGAACCCAGGGCCTCATGCACACTACCCAAGCATTCCACTACTGAGATACATCCCCAACTTCCTCCCCATAGCATTGTAGTTCAGATTGTCCTTGATCAAACTCAGTATATAGGTATGTAGTCCAGCTGGCCTCAAACTCACAGTGATCCTCCTGCCTCAGCCTTGCCTGGCTATAGTGCTGGGATTACAGGCAGGCACCAACCACACCTAGCAATTTTCAAAAAGTGATTTTTGTTCATAGAACGTTTCTAGGAAAAAACTCGACTTCTGAAATTTTAGTACTCTCTTTTGCCAACTAGGTGTTTAAAATGATAGGAGCTCTGACTACAGAGGATTTGGTAGGAATGATAGTTATGAAGGATTTGACTGAGATTTTTATGTGAAAAAATTTACTCACCTAGAATCTCATCAAAGATTTTGTACAAACCAGGAACAAAAGTGACTTCTCTGTAGTTAATGCCAATATCTTCATCATAAACCCACATTTGCTAGAAATAGGGCAAAGAAATATTTATTGTTTTGTCATAATTACTACAGTCTTCTAGATTAAGTACTAATTAAAAATATAACTGTATATGAATAATTAGGCTAGTTCCAGTGACACTTAGTACATGAGGTACAGAAAATTAATCTGAAAAATTACATATTTCAACCACTACGAAACTGCATTTAATTAGTTGGTTTTACCTGGGTCACTAATTCCACAGAGCCAATGTACGTGTCTGGGCGGAGCAATATATGTTCCAACTGCGTCTTCTTTTGATAGATTCTTTCAATAGACAGTCTTTTCTTAGCATCTTCATTTTTCTTCATTTTGTTCATTTCCATGTTTTCATTTAGAGGCTGGCCATGGCGGGGAGATTTTTAAACCCGTAAGTGTATCAGAAGTAACAGTAACTGCAGGACACTCCGTTGCCCACTGCGGTCTGCCAGCGGGAGCCGGGGGCGCTTATGGCTTTGGGCAGGCGTGGCGGTCTGAGCGTCCTGCAGCAGGCTCCCGGGTGTCCTCTGAACGGGTATTTTACGTCCCCTCTTCCCTGGCCAGTTTGGTGTCACCGAGAGGACACACCCGCTTCTTGCCTCCGCCCCGCAAGTGGTTCCTAAGAACCGCGAGGTCCCCGCTCTACCGGGCAGCGGTTGGGACCCCGTTCCCGCGACTGTCCCCGCGCCTCACAGCGACCCCGGGACGGAGCCCGCGACCGGAGGCCCGCGAGACCCCCGGAGGCCAGCGTGACCTGGCCGCGGCCTCGGAGCCTCACCCCTCGCGCAAGGCCGGACCCTGCCAGGTCGCGCTCAGCCTCCGCTGCCGCCCGGGCCCTCCCGCGAGCTGTACCTGCAGTGGGGACACCTCCATGGTGACCGGCGGGAAGGGGGTCGAGAACCCCGAGAGCGACTAAACCAGCGGGGGCCGCGAGACGCGAGGATACGGAACCGCTTCTCCACAGCCGCGAGTCCGTCCGTTAGGCGAGTTCCCTTGGACTCCTTTGAACCAGCGGCAGCCCGCCCAAATCAGATAAGCCAATCACCGACTCGCTCTCAGTCCAGAAGAACCAATCGTAGATGGTAATTCATATCTACCAATGAACGGCTGAAGAGGCCTGCTCGAATGAGCCAATTAGGCAAGGGAGGCGGGACTAGAGGGATTTTCAAAATACACCAATCGCATTCGAAGTGGACAGACTGACAAAGAAACTGGCCAATGAGAGGGTTTATTTAGCCTCTCCAGAACCTAACCTGGGAATGAGTTCATTTTGCGGGTCGGTTGCTTTCCTTGGAAGTAGTACCATAACCCAGGGCAGGAAGAATATCTCTGGTTTCAGCTCGGAAGAGGAAAAAGTCAGCCTGCCGGAGCAGGACCAGCACTGTGGAGCCTCCCAAGGCCCAGACTTGCTGTGCGGCCGTGGCATGTGCGAGGGTGGTCAAAGGAATTTACCAATAGTCAAGGGATATAAAAAAATGAGTTTTTGATCCACTGCTTTCTTGCGAGACCAAGAGAGGATCGCGCCGTCATGGCGAAAGGCAGAGATTCTTAGATTTGATTTTAACACGGGGAGGTCTGGAAACCATCCCAGGGGCACTTTCATCAGGTCACGTGATTTAACTGAGGTTAACTGTCATCCACTCAGTTCTGAAGACAGCCAGGCGTCGTCTGGAGGCCGAGTGCTGTTTTGTTCGACCGAGCTCAGTGCTCTTGGTGTTAAGAGATCCTCCTGAGTAGAATTAATGAGCAAATATGTATAAGTTAGCTAAGGTTAGTGATTATGGGGATCAAATAAAATATATATGGCTGTACTTGGACGGGACTTTTGACGTTATATTGGGATGGGGAGAAATGGTATTTAAGATGTGAAAAGCTGTTAGTGATATATAAGTAGTTCTTTTTTTGGTACCAGGTATTGAACTCAGGACCTTGCGCTTACAAGGCAGGCGGCGGAACCACTGAGCTAAATCCCTGGCCCCTGTATAAGTAATTCTTGTGCATAGCTTAGAAGGTCAAAAGTTAGTATTCTACTATGGACTTATCACCATGGTTTTCCACACCTGTGACTCCTCTGGGAAGCTCTGCCTTGCCTCACTTCATGGGCTGCTGGGACCCTGGGACCAGCCAAGTCTGAGGCCCACATAGCAAGGGGAATGCAGCCCTGCGGGAGGCCACTGTCCCCTCTGCTGGGGAATGACAGTTTGGCCTGGTCACTGGGAAAAGGGCCCCCTTGCCCTGCAAGCCCATTGGGCCTGACCCTACTGAAGGGTTCCTGATGTCACAAATGATGTCATAAATGAAAGGTGGGGCATTTGAGTTTGCTAAGGCACTGGCCACAGGGGCTGCCAGAAATGTTCCAGCAGGCTAGGGTCAGCAGCCTACTGGCCTGGGGACTCGGTGACCAAATGTTGTTCCATCATGTTTTTGCTGCTCCACATCAGGGTCTGCGTGCCAAGCTGCCTTGCCAAGAGAGGCTCCCAGAGCTGGTTCTGATCCTAGATGGGGTCAGAATCAATTTCTAGCTGCGTCTCTTTGCCTCAAAAGGAAGATCCAGGCTGCCAGACCCATCAGGCTGCAGACCACCAGGCACGTGAAGTGCTTGTTCCACGTCTGGACAGTTGGAAGTCAAACGCAGCACAGTTTCTTTCTCATCGGAACAAGGAGGAGGAGCCGGCTCCGCATGGGCAACTCGCTCAGGTGTTGTTTGGAACTCCACACCAACTTGTAAAACCTCAAGCTTCAGGAGCGAAGCTCGAAGGATGATGATATCTACACAAGGACGGACAGAGCGGAGCACAACAGCCTTGATCCAGAGTCCCAGGAGAACCCAGATGAGCCTCAGAGGCCCCTGGACAAACTGCACCTTCTCATTTCCAGCTGGAGGCCCAGACTCTCCACCCAGAGACTCCCCAGGTCCAGTCCTTTTCTCCTCAGCAAGAAACCACAGCTCAGTTCTCACAGCCCGGAGGAAGGGGAACCTTCACCCAGCAGGAGGCCCAGGGTCAGCCTGACCTTGCTGCTGAGGAGGGTGGAGAGCAGTTGTCGGTACCTCAGGAGGTGAAAGCTCCATCTCTGTGTAGGAGTGAAGCTCATCACTCACATGTGGCGTTGGTCACAGTTAATGTGCTTTGGAGGACATGAGGACCACGCAGGGAGAGGAGGAGGCTCAACCTCCTCCAGGCCAGCAGCAGGCCCCAGCTCAGTCTGGAAAACAGCACAAGGCAACAGTTTCTCCTCTAGGTGAGAGGAGCCTCCAACCTCATTCAGCCTCCAGCACTGGACGGTGTCACTGTCGAGCTTCAGGAGCTAACCAACAAAGTTGCAATTGAAACTTCAGCAGGACAGGGCCCCAGCTCCGTCCTCCCCTGAGCAGGTTGGACCTTTCACAGACAAGCAACCTTCTCCATCCCATGGCAGGGTCCTAAGTCAGCCTGCAGAGCTTCCTGAGGAGTGTTCTCCATGCCAGCAGGAACCTCAGCTCTGTCTCCAAACTCCCCTGCTTTTTGAGACAGCCAAGGAGTCTGACTCTCACTTTTCCCTGCCAGCTGGAGAGTGGTGCAGCTTGGCCAGCAGCTGTCTGCCCCTTCCCCTGGCTCCTCTTTGCCCTCCTTGTACCTCGGTGGACAAGGACAGTTTGCTTCAGTGTCCTCCCCGGCTATCAAACCGCCATTCTCCACTCCCACATGAGTGCAGCCAGGCAGGCAGCGTGGTGCCCCCCTTCAGACACTGCTGGTGCATTTTGAAAGGGGAGAGGGTACCTTGGATGGCTGGGATCAGGAAGGGCGGGATCTGGCCCTTATTTGCATACCTGGCATTCACAGCAAGCCTTCAAGAAGAATCCCTAGTTCCAGCCCTCGCCTCGCTGAAACAGGCCTGCAAACTGCTCCACAAGTATTGTAGTCTTTCCCAGGCACTTCCTGGGCTTAGTCTAGGGGGTTCCCTCCTGTGTACTGGCCCCTGTGCTACAGCAGTGAGGACCTACTTCCGGCTCAGGTAGTGTGGGCTCCAAAGGTCTTGCAAATCTACTTAGGATTTTTATCCTGAACAAGGGGACAGAGCAAAGCACTCGGAGCTGTTAACCCTGAGAAGCTCCAGAGGCCGGCAGCCGACAAAGTCCACCAGTGGCCCTGGCTAGCACTTCCAGTGCAAAGTTTAATAGACATAAGAATGGGTCCTGGCCTTGTTCTTGATCTTACCAGGAGTCCTGATTAGGTGGGACATGAGCCAGTTTTTGTATGTTGTTGTTTTTGTAAATCTCTGTTAGGTTCAGGATACTCCCTTCTATTCCTAGTTTGTGGATGTTTTTACTTATTTATTTTTATTTTTTGTTTACTTTTTGTGGGCTCATGTTTGCAGTATGTAATGCTTCCCTTCCTTGTGGGGAGTGGGACTGTGCCCACCACGCAGTTTCTTTTGCATCCCCTCCCTCCCTCCGCCATCTCTGAACCCCTTCCCATGTGAGCAAGGCCTGACCCCCTCCTTCCTATCATCTATCTTTATTGTGCTCTTTATCTACGTTTGGGCTTCTCAGATCAGAGAAACCATGTGCTACTCAATCCCTTGGCAGTCTTCCTCAGGGAGCTGAGCAAAGCTGCCACGAGGTGGCAGAGCAGTCAGCGAGGGTGAGGACAGTGACCTGCCCCAGGGTGTGGTCCCCGACAGATCCGGTCCTGTCTCTGGAGAAAGCAAACTTTGCCATTACTGTTAACATAATTTTCCCCAATTACAATGTATGAAATTCATGACATTTCTAGGGATGTGGCAAGAAATGAAAACGCAAATACTTAAATACATGTTTGCACACAGTGAGGAATTCCGCAAGAAAATGCACTGGGGAGGATAAAATGCTTCCGCTTCGTATGGTCGTGCAGTTTGTTCACTGCACAAGGCGGACAGAGTAAGTGGGGATGATAATCCTGCTAATGCACCAGGCCAAGCTGTGTGCAAAGTTCGTCCACAGTCATTCTTCCCGAGACGTGGGGTCTGGGGTGGTTTTGTCCTTGTGATTATGGATCAAGGTACAGGTTTTGTTCTAGCAAGACCAGAGGTATGCACTGTGGGACAGGAAAGGCATAATCAGCAGCTGTCTCATCAGTGATGCTCATGGGACAGGAGAGTCGGGGAGGGTGAGGAGCCCGCTGGGCTGCCCAGTGGCTGCTGACCAGGTGACTGCCTGGCACTCTGGTCTTCCACTGGGGACCCGGGGTGGCTGTCCTCAGCCTCAGAGCGTGGCTGCATTGTCCTCAGTGGGACCTTCTGATAGGAGCCACTTTGCCAAGAGCTCTCCTCTCTCTCTCTCTCTCTCTCTCTCTCTCTCTCCTGGAATTGAACTGAGCTACATTCCTGGCCCTCTTTTCTCTTTTTGCTGTTGCCTTTCCTGGGGTTAAGATGAGTATAGTGCCAGGAGAGGTGGCACAACTGTAGTACCAGCACTCGGGAGGCTGAGGCAGGAGGATTGCCAAGAATTCCAGCCCACCCTAGGCTCCATAGTGAGTTCGAGATTAGGCTGAATGACATACTGAGACCTTGTCTCAAGAAAAAAAAAAAAGACCAAATTTGGGTTTACTCCCTTGCAAGTGGCACTGGAATATTTCCTGGCCCCTATTGTACTGGCCGGGACCTGTGGCTGTGGACAGAAGTGTCCCCTGACCGAAGGCCATCTCTTCTTTCCTGGCAGTTGAGGCAGCAGCCATGGGGAATGTGGATGGGGCGCTCCTAAAGGTGCTGCAGGCCCGGAACAACAGCACCAGTTTATTTCCTGGTGCTAATAAATACCATTTTTCTGAAAGAAAATGGAAGCGACTCATAACCCCTGCAGCCCCATGGGCAGAGTGGAAAATGCAGGTTGTGACTGCGCATGCACAGAGCCGGGCATCAGCGAGGAGAGCGGGCCGAGGCGCCAATCCCCCTGTGACCGCCCTGCTTCCCCGGGCAGGCGGTGTGGACTTCTCGCTCTCTGGGGGCAGAAACGCATCCTGCGCGGTGTCCCGGGCACTGTGTCCTGCTCCAAGGAGGACACGCACAGGCGGGGG